GGAGGGGGGGGTGGCAAAGGGGTGGCGGGGTGCCTGTTGCCGGTCTTGTGCGGGTGGTTGGCACGACATGACATGACATGACATGACATGGCATGGCAGTGGCAATGGCACAGCACAGTACCTTGCCTGATTGGGTCAGTGGTGGCTGGTGGCCGGTGGTTGGTGGTCGGGTTGACTGGCGTAAGCTTGTCTCGCTCCTGGCCACTGAACAACGGCGGGAATGGTGGGGATGGAGGACAGAGTGCGAGTCCGGGTGCGAGTGTTGTTGTTGTTGGTGGTGGTGTCACTGCTGCTACTGGCCATGGGTGCGGTTGTGGCGGCTGGCACGAGCAGGGCAAGCGAGGCGAGCGGGGAGAGCGGGGCCGGCGACGGGCGTGCTTGCTGCCGAATACGGTTGTTGGCCCGCTAGAGGCCAGGATCGGGTCGGCGTACGTTGTATGCCTCGAGATGGACGTCGGAGGCCCGATCGAGCTGCGGGCGTCGTCGGCGGCCTCGTATCCGGTCTCATTCCGCATCGAAGTGGTCCCCGAGCCAGCGAGTCGGGCTCCGGCTCGGACGCTACTCAACACTCACATCGCCCACACAGTCCTGCCGGCTGGGCGGCATTGGATCGCGCTCACGCCCGAATCGTACGGCGTGCCGCTGGCCGCAGCTGACGCTGTAGGTCTCGTGGACCAGAGTGTCGAGTTCTACTTTGTGGCCGATACACGGGTGCTGGGCGCGATCCCACACACCGCGCTCCCGCTCATTGCTGTGTTTGCCCTTGTCGCCGTCGCCGGTATGTGCTACGGCCCGCAGCTGGTGTCTGCGCTTGCTGCCAGCGCCGCTGCGCCTGTGATGGGCGGGTGCGGTGAGAAGGAACGCAACGAGTAGAAGCCACTGACAAAAAAAAACACGCGTGCTTCACCTGTGACTCGAAAGCGGCCGCCTCACCTTTTGCGGCCCTAGCATGATCGCAGCGCCCTACAGCTGTGTCCCAGCCACATGTGTTGCTCCAGAGAGACGTGCGAGACCGCACGGACGAATATGACGACAGAGGGTTGTGACTCGAGCAAAAAAATCGTTACGCGCGCCGGGAATCGAACCCGGGGCTCCTGCTTGGAAGGCAGAAATTCTGCCACTGTACCACGCGCGTGCTAGAATCACGGTCTACTGGACGAAAAGACGTATATGACTAGTACACTACATTCCAGGCGTCGTGTGTCCGGACGCGTTGTCGTGGCGCTGGTTTGGAGTGAAGGACACGGACACACCCTTCTCGCCGCAAAGACCAAGACACACACACACACACACACACGTCTTTAGACTGACGGCGGAGGAGCCATGACGTCCCGCTCCTACTCCTCTTTGCCAACATCGTCCTCGTCCTCTCCTTGTCCGCCATCGCTTCGGGCCATGCTCGGCAGGCGCTGGTTGCGGCTGTGGAGGCAGCGAACAAGGCGACGGGGGAGGCGCTGGCACGGATGGACGAGACGGCGACGCTGCGCGAGGTGATGGCGGCGGCCGAGGCGGTGGCGGCAGTGTTTGTGGTTGCAGTCGACGAAGTCCGGGCCGCTGGCGAGGCGGCCCGGACGGCGATGCGGGAAGCGGCGGCCGGGGCGGCCGGAACGGGGGGCGAGAGCAGCGGGATGGCGCTCGATCCCGGCCTGCATGTCTTCTGCGTAGAGAACATGGCGCTGGAGCGTGTGGCGCCGGCGCAGCACGGGGTCTTTTGCGAGGGCGACTCGTACGTGGTGGTCAGCGTGGCCGAGTCTGGTGGGGCGCGGGTGTACTTTTGGGTCGGCGCCATATCGACGCCGGCCGAGATCTCGTGCGCGTCGTTCTCGGCGTTGGCGTTCTCGCGGCAGCTGCAGTGTCCGGCGCTGCGCGAAGAGCAGGACTCCGAGTCGCCTGCCTTTCGCGCGCTGTTCTGGCAGGGCATCACGTTGGTCGAGGGCGACGGGGCGACGTCGTCGCTGCGGGCGCTGCCGCCGCCGCGGGCCACGCGGCTGTACCGTATCGTGGCCTCCGGCCGGGCCAGCAGGCTGGTGCGGCTGCCAGCTGTGATGAACTCTGTCGCACACGGTGTCATCACGCTAGTTGACGCCGGCTCGGCCGTGTACCAGCTTGACGGCCGCGACGCATCGATGGTTGTCCGCGCGGCTGCGCTGGACTTTACCTCGAGTCTCAAGCAAAGCGAGAGGACTGGAGTCGCGCTGCACTTTGCGTCGGCAGACACGCCGGCCGAGTGCCTGGGCGTGCTTCAGGCGATTGGTGCCGAGCTGGGCGCGCCCGCGGCGGCGTTTGCGAGTGCCGAGGCGGCAGCCGTAACGCTCGACGATTTGCCGGTAGTGAGTGCTGAGGCAAGCGCTGCCGCGTACGAGTCTGCCAACCCAACGTTGTACGCCATCTCGCCGCACCTTCAGCTTGAGCAGCTGGAACCGCCGTACGCGCGGAGCAGTCTTGATGGGATGCGGGCGTATGTGTTGAACACGGCCACTGATGTGTTTGTGTGGATCGGGGCCGAGGTGCCTGCCGAGCTGCGACGGCGAGCGATGGATGCGGTGCCGAGTGCCGCAGTCTGGCCGCCGGTCCGAGTTGTGCAGGGCGCCGAAACGTATTTGTTCCGGGCCGGGTTTGACGCGTGGCCTGCGAGGGGCGGGCGGCGCGAGGGGCGCGGGTCGCGGCGGGTGGCGAATCCGTCGGCGCCTGCACAGAGCAGGCTCGATGTGAGAGCCATTCTCGCCGGCGACTGCCTCACCGATCGGCTGCCGCCTGTATACGGCGTGGTCGACGACACGTCCCGGTCAGGGGCGGTGTCGGTCATGGTGTTCGAGGGCGAAGATCTGGTGTATTCGCTGCCCGAGTCGCACCACGGCCACTTTTACGACACCTCGGGCTTTGCGGTCATCTACACGTACGAGACGAGTAACTCGTTTGGTGGCAGTGACCAGAAGTTTGTTATCTACTTTTGGCGCGGGGCGCGAGCATCAGCCAAGCTCGACATGGCGTACGAGATGTCGCTCAAGGCGGCGCTGGCGGCCAAGTTTGCCGACGCCGGCACTGCGCCACGGTTTTTGCGGCTGGAGCAGGGCCGCGAGTCGGCTCACTTTCTCTCGCTCTTTGGCGACCGGATGGTAGTGCATGCCGGACGGGCGCAAGACCACGTCCTGATTCCACCAGAGAACATTGTAGCGGTGACGGCGGACTCGGTGATTGTCGACGAGGCGCTTCTCGGCTCGGGCGAGGCGTACAACGCTGGCAGACTTGTCCCGCGGCCTGCGGTGACCATGTACGAGCTCGCGCCGATGGGGGAGTCGGACGAGGCGATGACAGCGCTGGAGGTGCCGGCGACCGCGTCGTCGCTCAACTCGTCCCGGGCGTTCCTTGTTCGCACACCGCACGCCAACTATCTCTGGCTTGGGATCGGAGTCTCGGACGCCGAGTACATGCCGGCGTGGGAGCTTGCGATGGACATCGAGGCCGAGTGCCTCGATGCGCCGTCGCTGACCGCGGCCAAGGAAGCCATGGCCAAGTCGACATCGCATGCCCAGCTCGATGCGTCGGTCGATAGCTCGACGAGCGACTCGTGTGCCTCGCTCTACGACAGTGATGGAAGCGGGGATGTGAACGAGAATGGGAGCGACGAGCGTCGCCCAGAGTCGCCGTCGGGGCGGCCGCGGCTAGGTGCGCTTCGCAAGAGCAACCTCTCGGCGCGTGAGCTTTTTGTTCGCGCAGCGGCGGCATCTGGCGGGGGCTGCAGTCACCGCGCGCACGAACAGGGCCAAACGGTGAGATCATGCTGGAGGCGTCGTCACTGCTAACGAACTCGGTGGCGTCGCTTGCCTCGGTGGCGTCACGCGTGTCGTCGACTGGCCACAGTGAGGCCGGGGCCAGCGAGGCCGAGGCCGAGGCCGAGGAATCGTCGGCCGAGGCATCGTCGGCCACACCAAGCAGCTTGAGCAAGTCGCTCTCAATTGTCGAGGAAGGCGACGAGCCGGATGCGCTGTGGCGGGCGCTGGGCGGGCAGCAGCAGTACGCCCGTGAGGGCTCGCTGGCGGATCCGCGGGCGTCGCCTCGGCTGTTTGTCGGCACTTGGGCGCGTGGAGCGTTTGCTGTGGCCGAGCGGTGCCCGGTCCTCGTCCCGAGTGATCTCGATGATGCCAAAGTGGGCATCCTGGTCGATGGCAGCCTGGTCTTTGCGTGGACGGCAGACCGCTCTGTGCCGCGCGAGCTGGTCGACGCCAGCCACGCGCTCGCACACGAAATCGCGCACGAGCTCGGTGGCGAGGTCCGCGACGTCGCAGGTGGTCTTGAGCCAGCGCAGTTTGCGGCGCACTTTTTCGGCTGGCATTGTCGGCAGAGCGAGGTGCCGGCGTTTGTGGATCCGCGACTGACGCGGGTCAAGGCTATGCGTGCCGCCGAGGCCGCGGCGCGGCGTGCGTTCCGCGATCACGTCAAGGCTGGCAAGTGCGTCAGCGTCTTTCCTGGCAGCAATGGCTTGGCCGGCGTCCGGGTCTCTTTCTTCTCGTGTGTCAACTGCAACGTCGGCAGCGTCTGCATCAACTGCGCTCGTGGCTGCCATCATGGGCACCACCTCTCCGCAGGGCGGCCAACGATCCTTGCGGGCTCCCCGGAATGTGGCTGTGGATGTTGACGATGATGAGGAGTCCGCCCAAGCTCTGTTGTACTGAGCTTTTTGCCAAAATGAAGATCCCAGCTCCTTGCCATGCCACATCGGTTGCCATGCATGGCATCCGGCCTTCCACAACAGTCGACGGCCAGCAGGCGACTGCGACCGCAGGTCACGCCACCCGACCCCCCATTCACCATGTCCGACGACCTGAAGCAAGCCGTCGCCTCTGCCCTTCCCGACTCTGCCTCGGAAGCCCAATCCATTGGTACGCCCATTCCCGCCCTCCCCTACCTCCCCCACCTTCCCCTGCACAAATTCCCTCCCCCCATCTCTTTTTGACATAGATTTGCTCTAGGCCTATCTCCCCGCGAGGTACCGCCTGGTACACGATCGATGGCCAAAAAGATCTCGACGACTTGCAGCTGGCACTAACGCCAGTCCGTCGCGCCATCCCCTCCATAAGTCATCTCGCGACAACTTTTAGATACCACGACTCACCGTCG